CTAAAGAAAAAATTGCAAATCGATTCATAAGAACACCATTTATTGACGCCTAAATCTGCTGCAACTTCTACGAAGCGACTGCTTCTCAAAACGTGCATCTTCACCGAAGAGGCTTGTCCAAAAAGCAGCGTGAAACTTTTACCTTTTCAATAGTGCATAATCCTAAAGTTCACAGCATTACCTAACACAGAACATATATTGTTGTTTTTCTTAGTGTGTTCTGAACCTTATCCAGAGCCACGTCTCAGTACAATTCATACGTGAAACGTTCGATACCCCGGACTACTTTCAACATTAATCTTTATTTCGAAAATATGATATTCTGAAAGAGCATAGTTCAGTATATCTATACTATATATAGCTTTTTGATCAAAAGCTTCCATGTATCACTTCAACCATTATCATTCGGAAGTGCTAGCATCGGGTAAAAAAAATGTTCAAGATTATGGTTGGCTCGTTAACGTTACCGAGTAACGATTTTATCTTCCGTTACTACTACTTTTGGATGGAAAGTAACGAAAAGTAATAGTAACGGGTCACCCCTATTCAGAATTGCACTGTAAGCGATCTGCCTCGAATATTATCGAAAAAGCTTTTTTCATATCTGACCAATCTGACGAGGGAACATATTTGAGTGTATCCACGAAGGGAGGATTTAAAACCATTCTATCCTATGTGGACCTCCATGAATAACTCGGATATGAATATCTTAGCTGCCCTCGTTTAGGTTAAAAAAAAGAGAAGACCGAACTTTTTCAATTTCAGACCTATTATCCATTCCAAAGTACAAATGGATAATAGGTCTGAAATTTGAAAAAGTTTGGTCTTCTCTTTTTTTTAACCTAAACGAGGGCAGCTAAGATATTCATATCCGAGTTATTCATGGAGGTCCACATAGGATAGAATGGTTTTAAATCCTCCCTCCGTGGATACACTCAAATATGTTCTCTCGTGAGACGTCTATTCTACTCAAAATTCGACGCTGGATCCCGAATCTGTGATTTAAAATGCGAAGAGTTTAGGCCGGATAGTACTCATTCTTTCAAAGCTTTTACAAAATCGGGCATAACGTACCAATAAACTCAAAACATGTAAATAGAAAAATAGGTGAGCCGCTTCAGGTGTATCACAGATCACCGTAGCCGAAGCTGACTAGAGCATCTGTCTGAATGCAGTAAGGTCGTGATGCATGCTAAAAAGATCATTTAACGACATTTCCAGTACGTTAAACCGAACGTATGGTGATATTAGTTCATTAAACACAACCCCGATCCTTCTACTGGTAATCTGCAGAAAAATACACATTTCACCGTAGGCATAACGAATGCGTAATCTTAATCGTCCTACATGAAATCAGTAGAAATTGCACAGTTCACTTTTGTGGTTTTCTGCAAAGGTGAAATGTGTATTTTTCTGCTGATTACCAGTAGAAGGATTGAGGTAGTGTATTTAATGAACTAAAGAAACCATTAAATGCACTGACCAGGCCGATGCGGGCATCCAGTCTGTAGCATGAAATGTGAGCTATGAACGATTTATTACCAAATATGCAATTCACTGGCTTGTAAACATGGCACAGAACAGAAGAGATTAGTGAATACCCAGCCAGTCTCATATAACTGTCTGTTGAATGTGATGCGTAAAGCACGGTGGAAAGGAAAGAAAAAGAAAAATTCAATTGAAACTGACGCGAATTTTGCATAATCCTAACTTGACGACGATGCGTCGATCAGGATTACAAACGAAAACATAGGATCCAAATCGTCGATTCTTTACGGCATGAACCGCCGTTAATAGACTACATCACTGTATTCAGCACATCGAATTGAAATAATTTTGAAAGTTTAAGCAGATTTGAATGATTTCACAGCATTATTGTAAGACTAAGCTCTCACTTTAATGGCTGATTTTCGAAAAACTTCGTCATTCACAGTTCGTTTAATCTGGTGAAAAACACAAACAATAATAATCAGCGTACTCGATATCCTATTCACTTCAAGCAAGCCACACAAATAGCTAAGTCTTTCGAGATTCGTCCAATCTTCGGAACAGTAACAGATGGAAAATTCTGAAACATTGGATTAAACACCGTTACTGGTGGTGCAATGACTGACTCCTATGTAGCGCATACACACATGTCTGACACATACCTGTTACATTCGACGGCAATCTGATTGATATTAATGGATAAATAAATCTGCATAAGAAAATATCAGCAATGGCAACCGTTCCAAGAACGCGCCATTCACTGTTTGGTATTAAACTATTGAAAGAATCCTGAATTAATAATGAACTAAACGATGAAAATATTATGAGATAAAATCGATGTAAATGCAAATTTGTAAAATTATCTAACGCAATAAAATAAATGCCAACAACAATTATATTCCAACAGATGATATAAATAGTGTTACTGTCATTCAAAGTTGTTGGAAATAGGGTAGCCAAAAAATATGTTAGATAATAAAATGACGATAGTGAATACATAAATAAATGAACATGTTGTTGGGACAGAAATGATATATTATCATCATTGTAGCAACAAAAAAATATTTGTAGAATTAAAATTGTATCTACGATCTGTTCAATAAACTCTAAATTAAACGATTTTAAAATAAAGTGATACATAGTCCATATATTTTCTGCTCAATAACTTTTGTCAAATGACTGAGTGACAGTACTGGACAAAAATGATTTAACATTTTTTAGCTTCCTTTCGAACCTAGCATCCGAGTCATATGACAAAATTCGAATAAGTCGCATTGGGCTATGGCCCAATGGCTCCCTCCCCTCCGTGGTTACGCCACTGACTTTCACAGAATGTGTATTAACGTTTTCTGCAAATGTCAAAAGGATGCTTATTAGCTGAGTTATGAATAACTCTTCATCAATCAAACTCTTCAAAAATTTCGCGTTTTGTTGAGACTGCTATCGTAGAAAATTTGGCAATGGGCGCACTAACCAACAATAAAAGAATTTTGAATATTATTATTACAGATAGTCAATAGATAAAATTCTTTTTGGCGGTCAGCAGCATTTCACCTGTAGTTTACTCACAAAAAAATTCAACTTGAAAGAATCATTGGGTTAAACCTTACAGAAGTGGGGGCAGATAGCTTTGTCCAGTACTGTAGATATAGTCATAAAAACAAACGAACAACAAACACACCGGGTATAAACGAGTTTTGGAATAATACACAATTAGTCAGCCAAAACCGGAAAGCAAAAGTAAAAATTGTATTTTTCGAAGACTATGAGTGATGAGAGTGAGATTTTTTTCTCCATAAGTACACTATGACCGTCTCTATCTGACGACATATTTTAGATTTTTTTCACTCTATGAGCTTTAGAGCAAAATCCCGAGTTTCTACAACTCTCTTAGGATCCACTTGCTGCAACTCGTTCGGGGAGCGACTGCATGCAGAAAGAAGGAAAAGTGGTTTTCTAGTGCATTCAACCGTGGGTTATCTATATCCGTTTTCAAAAGTTCGGACTTTCGAAAGGGTCACTGGAAAACCGACATAGAATTTTCACAAAATCCTCCCACAAAGTTTTCGAATAATTTCATAAGTTACATAGCCGAAAAGAGCACAAAATTCAGAACAAAATGATCTGTTGTTTAACGTTTTAGAAACAATCTAGAAGGGTTATGGTCTACTGGGTTTCTGATCAAGAGAGTCCTAGCTTAGAAAGTGTTTGTTGCATGTCGATTCCTACTTGTGAAAAATTGGAAAACACTGAATCAGAGATCCTTTCAAAAGTCAAAAACTTTTGAGAACGGATATAGATAGCCCATGGTCGAATATACTAGGAAAAATCAGTTGCTCTACTTCTTAGGTAGAACCCCAAGCGAATGAGTTCAAATAAGTTGAACCTAAGTGAGTTTCTAGAAAGCGAGATTTTGCTGTGAACATCTGAGGTTAAAAAGGCCCCTGTCACTTCTTGGAAAAATTATTCCAAACACAGTTTTTCTTCGATCTTGTTACCCCATACATTACTCGACTAGTGCTACAGAAGGCGCAAGGTATTAACTTTGCCAGGTGAGTTTTCTTGCGGCGGTTTTCTAGAAATCCCGTCAAAATACTAAGTTACTCATAAACATTACATCCAAACTAATCTGATATTCGTACTCAGCATGTTAATTTATCCATAATCTAGCGTTTTTTTTTCCCATTCCTGAACCTAGCCAGATGACAGGATTTTGACGAGATTTCTGGAAAACTCACCTGGCCAAAGTCAATACCTTGCGCCTTCTGTAGCACTAGTCGAGTAGTGTATGGGGTAACAAGATCTCGAACAGATGACCTGTAGTTTTGGAGGGAGGAGGTCAGGAGGGACCAAAGTAGGTCTCATGGCTACGCTTACTATGAAGAAGTAAAAAGTGCTTGAGACTTCGTTCTTGTGTCATGCCTACAAGCTTGGAAGTCACTTTCATTTGATTATAAATAAAGTTATATTTTCTTAGATTTTGAGCTTGTCACACACGCCGTAAAACGAATGATTGTTATGGCACGTATTAAAGACGTGCCATAAGAGAGAACTGTATGATAGATATCATACATACATATATATATATATTCGGTCTCTTTCTTGCTGTCAGGATTTTCCCCAGTGTTAGTTCTTGGTTTCTTTAGTTTCTATGATCTCTTACATGTCTCCCCAGTTCCCCAGTGTAGTTTATCAACTCTAGAATATTCGGCTTTTTGTGTAAACTTAACTATAAATATACGCTAATTTTGTGCAAAAGAGATCATCTTCAATAACGTAATAAACTACTTATACACAACAACATATACCGGACCTAACAAGTGGTGCACTAGCCGGTGTTGATTGTGTATATGGTCCAGACAAGACGACAGCTACGCAAACAAGCAGCAACGGAAAAATTACAGGTTAGTTGAAGAATTGGAACGATTGGGTGTTATTGAAGTTGAATAAAACAAAACACCCACAGTATAATTGAAAATAAAAATAAAATAATGGATAGTTCAAGCGATCAGATGTATGGTCTATGCAGTCGTACTCCATTAACCATGGCTGAACAACTGGTAAACAGCCTAATTTCGACTCATCTGAGCAAGTTGCCAAAATTTGGAGGAAAGGTCAATGAAAATGTGATCGAATGGATAACATACATGGCAGACGAATTCAAATTAGCGATACTTGATGATTCAAGGAAATTATCGATGATTCATACATATCTTTATGACGATGCTAGCGATTGGTTTATCAACAATATGACACGGATAAGCAACTGGTCGACATTTGTATGCGAGCTACAAAAAGTATTTTCCTTTTCTCAACAAGCAACTATTGACGAAATTGACACACCTGTACAGTGTTCTGACAAAGCGATCCTTCATTCTTCTAGTCATGCAATAGCATTTGACGCTAAGATGGATTCAAATATCAAAGATCAGTCGAAGGTAGTAAATGTGAAAATCGATTTCCAGCTGTCGCGACAAAATTCATCAAAATCAGTTGAGTTTTTGGAACAGGACGGAGCACAAGGCGATACCGACACCAAGGAGGAGCAAGACTATGAATTATTGATAGACAAGAAAGAAAATCCAGATTATTCCACCACTACATCAGTTGAATTGGATAATATCGTCCTGCTCAATATGGGCATTATGGACAGTGGCGAAAATAACTTCGAGAGTGGTTGGCCTGATGGAGACGAACCATGGTTCATTCATGATAGACTACAACAACGACTTCACTTTATTCCATGCAAGCACGAAGCAGAAAAAGACGCAGAGACACTCGATGATTTCCTCACCACCTCATTACATGCGAAAGCCTTGAACGTGGCAGTCGATGACAATGAAGGACTACCGACTACAAGCGTGTTACAAACTTATGAAAATATTGACAATATCATTTATTTACTATTTTCGGCTGTCGGAAAACATCAATTAATCGACAAAATCGATATGACAACTACCCAGGACATTTTTAGTATGTGTCAGGATAACGATTCAACCAATGCATCTACATGCTTACGGTATATGATGAATGGTCATTCGCTCTGGTGCAATTGGTTGCCGTATAAAACAAATGACTGGGAATGGTTTCGAACTTTTGCAGTACCCTAACCACTGAGGATCTCAACCGGTAGCAAGGCAGAATATACATTCGCCTTGCTCAATTCAATGACCACGGTAGTGGCAGTACCGCAACATTGAATAGCAAAGACGTATGACATTGATTTTCCAAGATGAACGTGGAAGTTCATCTTGTTTTTATGGGGGGAGGTGTTATGGCACATATTAAAGACGTGCCATAAGAGAGAATTGTATGATAGATATCATACATATATAGATATATTCGGTCTCTTTCTTGTTGTCAGGAATTTCCCCAGTGTTATTTCTTATTATCTATTATGTGTATCTTTTTCGTTCTCTTTCGTTCTATGAGGAATTTCCCAGTGTTAGTTCTTTTCGTTCTCTTCTCTCTATCAGGATTTTCCCCAGTGTTAGTTCTTGGTTTCTTTAGTTTCTATGATCTCTTACATGTCTCCCCAGTTCCCCAGTGTAGTTTATCAACTCTAGAATATTCGGCTTTTTGTGTAAACTTAACTATAAATATACGCTAATTTTGTGCAAAAGAGATCATCTTCAATAACGTAATAAACTACTTATACACAACAACATATTCCGGACATAACAGCCTGATACAAATGATATTCAAAAGAGTATTTTATTCAGTTTTTCACTGGCTATTTTTTCATATCAAAGTTTGTGTGAAGCCTATGCTGAATTTTTCAAAAATATAATTTTTTTCTAACAACGATGTCCTCTGATGCAATCTCAAAATAACCAACGTTATTTTGAGCTTGTTTTCCATAAGAACAACTGGGCAATGTGTGCAAATGTCTTTTCGACAAAAGTCCAGTCAAAGTAAGGCAAAAAAATGAGGGGCTGTTTTTTGATCAAGTACGCTCCCTTCTTTTAAATTTTCAACTTTTTTTAAATTTAAAATATCTCAGCTCGGGAAGGTGATAGAACGCTGATTCAAACGACATTGGATAGGGAATTGAAGACTGAACAAACGTAGACATTTATCAAAGTTCCAATAACGGATCTTCCTGGTTTTCCGGAGTTTTCCTAAAAACCTAGTTGAAATTTCACTTTAATTTTTTAATTTTTTCTAATAAATTCGCCTTTAAAAATTAATTAAAAAATTCAAATTGTGAAGTTGAAGACTCAATTTTTTTACAAAATGTTCGCCTTTCAATGCCGAATATGAATATCACATTCAACATTTGTTTTCGACGCATAGTTTCGTTTAAAAGTAGTTTTAGTTGAACCTGTATGTCAAAAATCATGATTTTCCAGAAACCCTGCTTTCGAGCATTTTGGAAAAAATATTCTGTCAGACAAACGAAAGAGCACGTGGAGAAACCCTTAAGAACCAAAAATTAGAGAAATCGGACTGATCGTAGTGGAGTTAAATTTCTCATGTACCACGGCTATTGTAAAAGTCCGAAACAAGTTTGTGTGCATATTTACCCTGGTTTCGGGATGTTTATTGATGAATATAAAGAAAATTGTAATTGGATTCATTCAATCTATGTCTAATTACGAAGAATCAGCTTTTTATAATATCACTTCCTCTCCTACGAATGTTTTCACACAGATTCACAGATTTAGAAGGATAGTTCGACCATGAAGAAGATCAAACGGTCTAATATATGGACTTTATTTGACCAGATAGTGAAAATGACATAACGCTTATTCACGTGTATTAACTCATCAAACATCCGAGTTGTTGCTAAAGTCTTGATCGGCCATCTAATGGTTATTCAATTTTTAATCATGATCCAAAATATTTTCATATCCAATGATGTGTTGTTGTGTTTGAACTGCTCCAACTGGTTTTGTAGCCAAAATTGCCTTTTGTTTTCTTCTTGGTAGAAAACAGGCAAATATAAAGAAAAGAATATGATAAATAACATAAATACCGGCAAAACCAGTGAGAACATATTGATCCAGTGTAGTAGTTAAATGAATGAAATCTGTTT